GGATAGATATCTTCTTGATTAACCAGATATATGCAAAATCATTTATTGCCATAAAGTTATGCGAATGAAGTGCGATTCATCGCATTTTGTTCGTAGTGCTGCGAATTTGAAGAGTCGCTCCAAAACGTCCCCTCAAATCTTTGGCAAACTAATAACGGCGCTCTTATCAAGGAGGATAATTATCTTCTTTAACCAGATATATGCGAAATCATTTATTCATATAGTTATGAGAATGAATTGCGATTCATCGCATTTTCTTTGCAGTTCTGCGAATTTGAAGAGTCGTCTCTTCTCCGAAACGTCCCCTCAGTCTTCGGCAAATTAATAACGGCGCGCGTATCAATGAGGATAGATATCTTCTTCAGTCTTCTATAAAAGCCAGCTGAGATGAGACAATTGAATTAGGATCAGGACCCATCTTCCAAGTCTATAACTCTCAATTTTCCTTAACATGCCGGTCAATGTAGTCTTTATTGACAGCATATTGAGGAAAATCGAAGGTTGAAGAATTGAGAGATGGGTCCTGATCCTCCTGTTGTCTTTGAGGGTGTGCTCTCTTTCACCGTCGTAGCCTCCTCAATCTAGTATACCTTGAAAGTCCAAGCACTCGCCCTGGAGATCCACGTCTGCCCAGGCACATGGTCACCTCTCATTTAAAGCTAAAAACATTAGAAACTGATGAGAAAGCTGTTGAAGACCATGTGTTTGGGAAGACGTGGAATCTCCGGCGTATTGCTTGGTCTTCCAGGGTTTACTAGATTGAGGCGCCTACGACGGCGAGGGAGCACGCCTTCAAAGACAAAGGTTCTTGTTCTTTCGGGGTATACTACTTTTTTTTATCGGAAGTCAGACCATTGATATAAATCCCGTTTTCCATTTTCTTCAAGTGGTGTACAAAATTCACTGGCAAAGACAAATGTGAAAACGGAGATTCAAAGTCAAACAAGGGATGGCGATTAATTTCGTTTGACTCACAGACCTATCCCTTCTAACAAACAATGGCGAGAAGACCCGTACCTCCTCTGCAACAGACTCCGCTGCCCAATTGGTTCGAGAGGCAGACTGCGGTATGAGGAAACAGTGAACGTAGTACCGGGGTTTAACTAGTACCTCATATATTGGAGGGCTTAAAGGTTCAAAGCATACAGGACAATCTAGAACTTCTGGATCGGTAATGGTCACTGAAACTTGTTACTGAACGTAGCACGGGGTAAAATAGTAGTTGAGTTGATGTAAAGTAGTTGATTCGATGTAAAAGTGCGACATGCATACGTCGCATATCATTCGCCTAATTGGTGCATAATTTATATTATAAAAGTTTTTTCGATGTAAAGTCGTTGAGTCGATGTAAAATTGCGACATACATACGTCGCATATTATTCGCAGAATTGGTACATAATTAATTATAATATTTATTTTCGGAAAGTTCTTTGTCTGTGAATTAAATATAAATTTAAGACTACGTCGCATATCATTTGCAGAATTGTTGCAGAATTAATTATAATATTTATTTATGTTTTGGAAAGTTCTTTGTCTGTAAATTAAATATAAATTTAAGACTACGTCGCATATCATTCGCAGAATTGGTGCATAATTAATTATAATATTTATTTTTTGGAATGTTCTTTGTCTGTGAATTAAATATAAATTTAAGACTACGTCGCATATCATTCGCAGAATTGGCGCATAATTAATTATAATATTTATTATTTAGAAATTTTTGTCTGTGAATTAAATATAAATTGAAGAATACTATTAGATGAATGAACCTGCGATTATTACTTCGAAACAATTCCGCATAAAAACTTCATAACACTCGTACTATAACGAATAAAATTTAATTTTTTATGTTTTTGTAAATTTTCTATTCGGCGACGTACGAAATTGTGACATATGAACGTCGCATATTAGTGCCCGAGTTGGTAAATAGTTAAAAGTTTTTGAAAAGTTTTTGGTATGTGACTAAATTATTAATAAATTGAAGACTACTACTATTAGGTCAATGAACCTGCAATTATTACTCGAAACAATTCCGCATAAAAACCGCATAACACTATTACAATAACGACTAACATATATTTTTTTATTTTTGTTTTTGTAAATTTTCTATTCTGCGACATACAAACGTCGTATATTTTTGGAGAGTTGTAAATAATAATTTTTGGAAAAATCTTGTTCTTTGACTAAATTAATAAATTAAAAAAAAAACTATTAGGTGAAAAAAAAAGCAGTGCGTAACACTATTCGAAATGTGTTCGCATATTGATACATTTATACGAGTTTTATATGGATATGCGATTTGTAACTATGCGAAAACATAACGCATAAGCGATAGTTATCTAAGCCTTTGGATATGCGAATCGTAAATTATGCGAACATATGCCGCGTAGTCGCATACTCATAAATGATGCAGTTTGGATATGCGATAATCTAATTACGAGACAGTTTTCCACATACCCTAAATGATGATGCGGTTGATCTGGCCTGGATATGCGATTAAAAAATATAAATTAATTTTATTTATTTTTTTCACTACGTTATGCGAGAACAATGCGATCATCGCACTTTGTTCACAGTTCTGCGAATTGCCTTTCAATAATATTTTCCCTTCGAATATTGTCGCTTATTTTGCTGGAAAAATTCTGTTCACGGACATTAATAGTTTAATTGTCCATGCAACATATTGTTTTGTTTTGACATATGAATCATGATTAAACAAACACGTACTTGACAGAAGAAAAAAAATATTTATTATTACTGCAGTCAGTCCAACAAAATAAGCCAAACAACTTTTCATTACATGTCCAGTGGATTCTAAGGGTCGAGATCGATGACTTCCAAGTCTATCGCCGCTGCGTTGAGCTCGGTAAAAACCTCGTAACACTCACCATACCAAGGGAATCCTTCCGAACGGAAAAATGCCTGAGTGTCGGTCTCCTGTGTAATAAATTTAAATCTTTTTAGGTCACAAAAATGCATGTTTGAACAAACTAAAATAAAAAATCAGATGCAATTTACCTCCTCCCCCACATACACCCAGTACATGTGGTTAACCCTAGCAAAGCTTGTATCACGACGTAAGAGGACGCCTGGAATCATCAGGAAAGCAGTAAATTCATCGAAATAATTTCTGAGTCGCTAAATCTTTCGCCGGACTTGAGAAATAGTAAACTTCCTCTTCAATGCATAACTCAGGCATTGGTTCAGGACTATTGAAATTTCTGCCCACAAGGAATTGAACACATGGCCTTTGTGTATGTCTGCCTTCTGACGACACCATTTGAAAAACACTTGGTAGCAAATACGTTCCTCCTCCTCTGTCCAGTCCATGCCACGGAAGCGGATCGCGATCTTTTCATAAGGTAAAATCCTTTCCATTTTTTTTTTGGCTGCGATGGAAAGATAAGGTTTTGAGAAGTGAAAGGTCGCCTCTTGAACAAAGAGAATGAAAGGTTAATGAATACATTTAGCATTTAAAGCTAAGTAGATATACATCAACTCAACAACTAAATGAGGAAGCATGCAAATCGTCATTGTTTTTTAGGTGTAAAAGCAGACAATCAATCAATGGGTGCGTAACTTATGCGAACAATATGCGAAGCATTTTCGATTTGGATATGCGGTGCAGACAATCAATCAATGCGGTGCGTAACGTATGCGAAACACTTTTGATTTGGATATGCGGTGCAGACAATCAATCAATGCGGTGCGTAACGTATGCGAATAATATGCGAAGCACTTTCGATTTTGATATGCGGTGCAGACAATCAATCACTGCGGTCCATATGGA